CCATCGACTCGGATCACCGGCTCTGAGGAAGACGAAGACGTCGAAACGTTAGCCGAAAATAAATATATTTATCAACCTCGTGTAAGCTTATCAAGAAAGAATACATATTGATTAATCACACCGAGGTTTAGAGAAGGTCGGTTTCGAAATGTCAAGTGTTAGTTTGCAAAGTTGACTGTTTTCATGGGTCACGTGTGAATACCAAGCCAAGTGAATGAGGTTACTTTTTCCATAAGTATCCAAGACATGGCGACCCCAGAGTGTCTGCAGTTGTCAGCAGCCGCATTCGCCAGTTTTTACGAAACAGCAGTTGGTTTCCTATTACTTTTACGTTGTATTCAGTAGCAGCTGTCATTTCTGACATATTCTTACTCCAATTTAAATTTCTGCAGCGTTAGGAAAATTAAGGATTTTTAAAACTAAGGTATGGACTAAAGTAAAAACTGCTTGACTTGCGGCGCCGCCTTTGGGATGACATTCCCGTTCTACTTGACAGTTGTTGTTTTCTAAGTCGGAATTTCTAGTTGTATGCAAATTCTTCAGAAATATCTACTAAAGGAAAAAAACAAGTGCATATGCGAATTTTCGATGTGGTTGAATTATAACTGAATTTAGAGGACAAAAACATTCACGTACGGTAGCGTTTTAACCGTACGTTTACACTGCATATTGGTTTTCTCTAAGACCAGCAAATATCCGACCAAAGCGACCAGCATATCCAAGCTTCCTGTACTCTCTGGGAAATGCTGTTACTGATTCGATTCAGCAACGAGTCTTCTTATTTGTAAAAAGAAGCGTTTTGTTTGCAGAACTCGCAATCTACAGATAAACGAAGCCCACAATGAATTGCTTAGTATTTTTACCATTCTGGTCTTTCCTAGCTATTTGACCCTAGTTCACGAGATTAATGAATGGTGTTTAAAAACAGAAACGTCAGAAATGATGGATCAAATGTGTTCCAGGATCATCGCGGAGAGCTGACTCGGCAGTTTCTCTGGCGTTATGCGTGCTATCCGGGTGGACAACCGATTGGCTGGTTATCGATTACATCGAGTCGGAATCGTTGGAAGTACTATTTTCCTCCAGGTTGGTTTTGTGGTCACCACTTACGAGACTTTCACTTCATTTATTAATTAGTTTTACTTAGTCCTCATCATTTTTAGTTCATTAGTTTTTTTTTGTCAAGCATGTGTTAGTTGATAAATGAGGAAAGTACATGCTACGTCATTAGTGCTCTCTTTATGTCTACAAAGCGATAATGGAACAAAACCTAGAAATGTGCATAAAAACATTCTCTCGAAAGATATTTGGAGCGAACCAGTGGAATGAAGAAAACATGTTTAGACACTAGGCGTTAAATCGGAGAAAGTCTTGGACCAAAATGAACTTTTCACGTAAAACGATTTAGTGATTGATCGTAGATTAACAGCACTTGTGATTCCTTGTGGAGCACGTGTAGCACAGTGGTCAGAGGAGCCCTGCAATACGCATGGGATTGATCCTGCGCGCCGGGCCCACCAAGCCTTCCATCCCTTCCGGGTCGGCAAATTGGCACCAGACTTGTCTGAGAAGATAGCAGCAGTGGCTCAAGACATCGGTAGGCCACTGCGAGTCATTGTAAAGGCCAGATATGCATTCAATCGCTTCCAACGGTGCAAAACGAAGTCGAATACACAGCGCATCCCTCTAGGATCGATCATCGCCGAGAGCTTCTAATTTTTTAAAATCTATATGAACTGAGAATTATTAGAATAGTACGAAATTAAAGAACCGATTTTTGTCCTTCCACGCTATTAGCTAACCCTTTGGCACCGTCTGAAGGGCTGAAAACAGTGCACAGATCATTGGGAAGTCCTGAGATAATCAGAAGTCCCACTTAATACGGATACGTTTCCCGGTTCTGGTTTTCCGAAAGTGAATATCTTGTCCTACACATATGCTGGGCTAGTCATCTAAAGCAAAACCCGTGTAACGTATTATATCTACCGTGAGCCTGTGTTCTTACGTGGGGGAGTTTGGCTTATTTTACCTTCAATGCAATAAGCGAATTCCCATTTGTCACGATAGAATCAGAATCAGAATCAATTAAAATCGGTCTAGAAACTTGGAAGTTAATGTATAGATTCGCATTCACAAATAAACCGTCGATCTGGCACAGAGTAATCGTGATCCTTTCCTCATTTACGCCGTAGCTTCGGTTTTTTAAATGTTTTTAATCACGTACTTTCTGATGCACTTTTGTATGAGCTAGCTGATTGTTTATTCATTCAGCCTACTATCCGGAATTCCGTAGAGCTATGGAGTTTACATACGCTCTTTCCGAACAGCTGGCACCAAATCTTCTGTCTACCGGTAGAGGAAGTCTTCTACACATTCCCCTCCTGTTCGTATTACCATCCAAATCTTTTTGTGCTCGTCATAGCCATTTTCGTAAGTTTTGGTTGTTAGAGGTGAAACAGAAATTAATTTGCACTTTTCTTGTGATTTCATTTTTTTATCCCTCTATATTTTTTTTTTACATAACCCGTCGTTATATCCGCTGTGCGGATACCAGCGCTTCTTGCATTCGTTTCGTTTCCCTCGCATTCATCGACCACGATGGTCGTCAAACATTTCACATGTTTTATCGGATTCTGCTTATGGATTTCGTCTTCTTTGTGATTGTCGTAGAATGCTGGTCGACTCGGTTCTCCTTGCAATCATAGAGGTAGCCGGGCTTAGGTGTTGTCCCATGGATTGTGCGAGAGAGTTGGGAGGAATTCGAACTAGCTCCTTTCCTTCCTGATCAACAGCATCACTAACCATTGCACCGCCTTCTCCCCTTCTTCTTTCGCTATTGAATAAAAAAGAAAGGTAACGAACACTAACTATTCTTAGGATGATAGCAATCAACCTCAATGTTTTCTATCAAGAATGCTTCAGAAAGGAGAGCAGTATCCAAGAATATCGATTTTCAAAGTAGACAGAGAAAGTGGTGGAAGCAATGAGTACAGGTTCGGCTTTTTATTAATTTCTCCGGACATTTTCCTCAAAGTGGTACTTTTCGTAATTGTCAAAAAATGTGTTCCACCGGTATGGTCATCAGGGTGGGAAAGAGTTTCATGTTTCTATCAGAATGGCCAGTAATGAGTAAACGAATGCTGGGAATCTCTGCCTCCCTGGAAGAAGCCAAGCTACAAGGAGGTGATAACCTCCCACTACCTGGCCGTAGCCACGAAATGTGAGTGATCTGTACGCGTTTCTCGGAAACGTAAGGAAAAATCATGCCGAACCGTCAAAATACTAAAGTTAGAAGGATGAAGCTCTCGGCGTGAATCAATCCATAAAGGATGTGGCCATACATTCGACTTGATTAACCGTCGTTGGAGGTTACGGAATGAATATCTAGCCTTTACAATGACTCACGGTAGCCTACCGGTGCATCTAGCCAGTGGTGCTAACCTCCCAGACAAGTCTGGTATCAACTTCCCGAGTCCGGAGGGATGCGAGGTTCGGTGGGCCACGAGCGCGGAATCGATCCCCTTGTGTGTTGCACGGCCCCTGCGACCACTGCCCCACACGCCCCATCAAAATATTACTTAAAGTAAAGTCCTGGAAGATTGAACAATCTGTAAGGAAGACTAATTACGCTGGATACTAGATAAATTAGATGCTGTACTCAGCTTGGTGCCACCAATATTCCACATTCATTGTTCCATTTTGTAACTCAGCAGATAAAGTGCAATTAGTGAATTAGTGTAACTGTTTAATGTACTGTTGGAAAACGAAGGCAGACGGCTGCAGTTTTAGGCTTGCAGTAGAGTCAGGACCGGCGTTTAATGATGTTCCTCTCGAGAACGCTGTTTTGGGGTGTAGCACACATAATCTTCATATATATGATAGAAGTATGGTCATGGGATCGATACCATATTGGCACATTACCTTAGAAAAGGTATAATTTCTATTCTCATTAATAATATGTGTGTTACCTTGTAGTTATTTAGGACAAAAACATGGTCAACATCATTCTGATTAAGATGGAGGTATTAGGATCAATGACTATTTTTTTGGGCACTGTGCTGACTGGTATGATCGCGCCACCCGTAATTCCACTTATCACTGAATGCCTCGAATGACACCAGTAAAGCATGAATTCCTCCCAGTCGCGTGTCGGAGCTAGCCAATGAGCTCCACTCGTTCTATGAACAGGGAAGACTCCGATGAAGCAGTTTTAAATCTAGGAAAACTCAATTCTCACAGTCGAAAATCACTAAGAGCACTTGCGTACTATGAAATGTATGCTCTACTCTAATAACATGTTCTGTATGATGATTTTCTTTCAGCCATTCGTCGTTTTAAGCGACAGCTTATGTCTCGTGGTTCAAATCGTAAAGGTCGTTTAAGTTGAAAACTTACTAAAATATCACCACAAGTATCATATAGCATTGTGTACACTTGCACATAATTATGTATAACATGCTTTAGAGACATTGTTTTTAAGGATAAATTTACTCTAAAGCGCGACGACATTCCTGATGACACCAATGAGAAATGTAGCCGCTTCCCAATTGCTGTCGATTCAGGTTAGTAGATACATGTGTTATTGTCGAATACAGAACGTTACACAATTCTACAGTCTTAATGACCGCTTTTAATTTTTACTATATTTTTGTAATGATTTGATAACCCTGTTGAGTCGCAGTGTTGCTGGATATTCAAGGCAGCCGTATATTCGCACGCTTACGAGATGACCATTCACTTGTTCTATACAATCCAAGCACTAGAAGATGGACACCTTACTATCTCACAGCGGAATCTCATTTGAATGTGAGTTCCCACAAAAATTAGAATACCTAGAGCTGTTTGACTAGTTCCGTGTGTGAATGAAGTGCAACAGTGTCGAGTCACATGTTGTGCACACAGCTTACGTTCGACTCCACTCTGTAAACCAGTCGGTCAAGTGAGCTTCATCCGCTCGAGATCATAATTTTTTTAGCATGTTCCTTTCTAGAAGTCAAGAAAAAGCTCAGCGAGTGATTAACGTCGTGAAGTTCAATCTCTCATTTGCTTATCAGAATTCGAATTCGCTACTAGTTGGCTTTTTTCAGTTAGATTCTTTTAATACTTCTGGACTGTACGAAACGTATGGGCGGGCTGGACATCGCATGGGCGCCATTGAGTCACCACTTACAATATACTCGGATGGATCGGTTGTTGTAGCGAGAATTAAGAAAAGTCATAAGCACTATTTCTACCGAGTTACATTCGGTAAGAACTGTCGTTCTTATACGGTTAAATATTTTATGAAGCACAACCACAATGTTGCTGAGCTTTTTGCAAATTCCGGACTGCAGGTGTCTGTGTTAGGATCGAGCACCTACTACCCTTTCCAGGGGTCAATGCGTTCACCACCACACCATGTTGGTCCTTCGTTTCGCCTTCCTCTCAGCTGGTTTTCACCTGCGGTCAGGAGTTTTGCAAATATCTCAGCATCATTGTGGCTGTATTTCACATAATTCGTTGATGTGAAAAATTGTGGTAGGCAGTGAATAAAAAATTAAGATTTTATGGGGTTTCCTCTTGGCGATAATGGTTCTTGGTCTGCTTCATAGCATTCACGTATAAAAGCAATTATAATGATTGAGCAAAGTGGTTTGCAGTCCTATTTTTGCCATCCTTTCTATTTTGAGAAAGAACTTGCTGTTCATTTCATGTTAATTTTCATGTTAATATCATGATTATATAACTTTAATGATGCTGAGATATTTGCAAAACTTCGGACCGCAGGTGTCTGCGGTGGGGAACGAACGCGCTATTGTCATTTCCGGGGAGTAACGCGTTCACCACCACACCATCCGCGGACACCTGCGGTCCGGAGGTTTTGAAAATATCTCAGCATCGTTAAAGTTATATTTCGCGATATATATCCTGCCGTCAAAAATAGTAGGCAGTAAATAACAAGTTAAAATCATGATCATACTTGTATACATGGATACTTGGACGGCCCGTCCTTACTGTTTGTGCGGGCCCTAGCATACAAAACAACAGGATGAGAAAGCGGAGTTTGTCATGAAGACGAAAACCGTCTATGCTAACATTTCGACAGCTAACAGATTCGAGAAGATGGCTCACTGAGGACGACCTGGCTCGACACGAAGGCGAAGCTGCAACGTCGAGACGAACAACAAGCATGGACCATCGACTCGGATCATCGGCTCTGAGGAAGACGAAGACGTCGAAACGTTAGCCGAAAATAAATATATTTATCAACCTCGTGCAAGCTTATCAAGAAAGAATACGTCTATGCTAACGTTCCAAAAGTGTCTCTCTTAACAATAATTTTCTACATAATTGAGTTGACACGAAGTTGATATAGAAGTGAAAATTATTATTATCACCAAGGTTCACTGGAAGTTGGTTTTTAAGATGTTCCTCTTGAAATTGGATGTGAACATTTGTTAGCGCGACCTCTACAAAACGTTTTTTACACAACAGTACGGAAGAAAATATAGATTTCAAAAGCTCGGACATGTTCGAGCAATAAGTGATTTAATAGGACGAGTTTACAAGTACATCTCTTCCGTAATGGTATGCCCTGGTGTACGTGCAGGCAAACGAACTCTTATTTCTTTTCAACAAGTCTCCGATTTCCGTCCAATAATGTTATTCTCTGATCGAAATGGTTATAATAGTTGGTAGAACGAATACTTGGATGATCTAACTTAGATCCCTGAGCACCCAGCCTCGCACTCATCTCTTTGACCTTACTTAACATACCACTGAGGAACCTGAATCGTAAGACGTGTGAAAGATTTGTCAGAATCGTTGCAGGTGTTATCGCTGTGACGCAAGCAGCATCCCATATCACGATAAGGAGAGAGAAACCTCGAACTTGTGAGCTACGAACAATGATCAGACGCCGGTATATCCACTTGGGCGTTGGGAATCAACAGGACGCGCAATACGACTTCACGACGTTCGGTGTTCGTTAGATGTTAGCGATAGTGGAAGGAAAGAAGGGGAACGCGTGAATATTCTTTGGATCATTTAGGTTATCAGAACCTACTGGGCACCTCTTGACTGCAACAGGGATCAGTAGAGACTGATTTAACCAATGCTGGGAAAACTTATGAGCACAAGAGGAGGTTCTATAGCACAGATGATATCCAAACGCTAATGAGCGAGTTGGCTAAAACGTTGTTCCATTAACTCTTACTTCAGTAAATAAATCCCGTTAATTTGTTATAAAACAGACAACATGCTCATAGATGACATTTCAGACCACGAGAGATACGAATTTTCTTGCGAACGACGCGGATGGGCGCAGTTTTCAGCGGATATCGACCGAATGTTCTATACGATAGTTGGAGAGACCTCAGTTATTATGATAGGTATTCGTGCAATAGCAATCGCTCCACTTCAGGTAAGACTTCCGCCATCCACCTATAGAACTAATAACTAAGGCTAGGTTTCTAATGATTAGCAGAATGTTTTCCAGTACCGTCATTTGCTGGTTCCACGTACTACCAATGTAGTAATCGCTTAATAAGAAGAGACTTCTTTTGTTCATAATAACACGCTAAACTGCTACTTACTATTATATTTCAATAATAACACTTAGCACTACTGCACTATCTTTCTACTTCAGCATGTTTCATTAACAATGATATATTAGATAGGTGACGCTAACTAATAATGATACATCATTATATATATATATATATATATATATATATATATACATACATGTTTAGCCTCCAACATTAGTCGAATGCGCGCTAATGGCTCTGCAAGACCAATACTGCAACAAAGACGATGTAGGTGCTCGTATAGGTGGACTATCGCCCGAAGACGTTAAAAAAATGGTTGGCTATCGCGGTACATCGTTGATTCCTACATGAGTCTTAAATGCATTATCTCTCGCTGTTCTTATGGCTTTATCATGAATGCCAGATATTCTGTTCTATGACTTTTAACACTCACCTATCAACCATTAATACACCTTTCCTGCTTTGAGAGTTAATTTTCGTCGCATTCATTCTCTATATTTCAATCCGATTGTTATTGAAATAATGTAGCACCGAAAACGATTTCATTCTGAACATCCTACCGAAATGATTGATAATTACAAAGGCTCAACAAGCTGCTTTTTCGAATATGTGAATTCTTCCACAAGTTTCCTATCAGGATTGAGTTTGATAGGAGTCTAAAGCCAAATAGCTGGTATAAGTACAGATTCATAAGATGCCTTTATACTTTTAATGAATACGCATGAGAACCTAGTCTGAATAGTGCTGTGATTGCGGTAATTATTCTAGGGTATTATAAAGTTGTAGTCACAATGATATATAAACGTGCCCAAAGGCAGACAATTTAATGATGAAAGTCTACACACCAACAATTAGATTATTCGATGTTTTTCTTCAATAAGCAGACACAAGATTCTTATTATAAAATTTATTACGATACAATAGCTGACGTTTCGGCGGTTTCGTCTTCTTCAGAGCCCGGAAAGGTTAAATTGAAATGCGATCAACCCAGCCAAACACTTTCATAACCCCAGCAGATAAAACTTAACAAATAAATTTGTACTCGCATAAGAAACAGTTTCATTTAAACACCTACCGTTTATTTGTTGTAAGTATTTAAGTTAGTTGGTGGATAGCAACCGAGCAGAGTATTACATGGGCGACGGCTGTGCCTGTGTCAAGTCATTGGATTAGCCTGAGGTATGGCGCCAGGTCACGCGTGATGACAAGACTTCCTCTTTGCGGTTCATTTTTGAATTTTTGGAATTGATCCAAAACGCTTTAAGAGCTTTACGCGCCGATGTTTTCGATTCGTGCGTGCGGATAATGACTCCTACTTCAACATCTTCTCTATTGTGTTCCTGCATCCTATGCGCGCCTAGTGGAGTGTTTGGTTTTAATTTAGATTTACCGACTAGGTGTTCTTTTATGCGGATGCAGAGCGGTCCATCCATTTCGCCAACGTATTCGTCCCCGCACGCTTTTGAAGGGATCAGATAAACTGTACTCGAGCTCATGCAATCACCGTCTCTACCGTTAGGGCAAATTATGCAGTTTTTTGTTTTACATAGACGGTCGTATGGGCGGTGGCGAACTAGCTGGCGTCTTAGAGTGTCCAATGGTATTTCTATCTCTTACGGAATTCTCCAGACCGACCCTTATTAAGCAACGTTTTATAGCTGCACTTATTTCGTTTGAAATAAAGGGCACGAGGAAAGGAGCCTTCTTTTCGCTAGAATTATCGCTCTGGGGTGTGGTTTTTCCTCTACGCCTATGTCGATAAGCCACAGTTTCGCAACCATTTGAAATGGCTATTTAGCGCGCCAGTTTCGAGGATTCTTCCCTCTGCTCTCTATCTGTGCGCACGCTGGCGGCGGTTCGAAACATTTTTCTTATAGGCACCATTTTAGTGTATGAGGGATGAGAGGAGAGGTAATGAACCACTATATTATTACTGCTTGGCTTTCGATACCATTTTGTGATGTAGCCGCTTTTGGATAGGTTGATTTAAACGTTTAGAAATGGAAACCAGTTTTCTTTCGGTTTCGCATAAAAGAACACCTAGTCGGTAAATCTAACTTGAAACCAAACACTCCACTAGGCGCGCATAGGATGCAGGAACACAACGGAGAAGAATTCGAAGTGGGAGTCACTATCCTCACACACGAATCGAAAACATCAGCGCCTAAAACTCTTGAAGCGTTTTGGACTAATTCCAAAAATTCAAAAATGAATCGCAAGGAGGAGTGTCTTGTCATCACGCGTGACCTCGCGCCACAGCTCAGGCTAATCCAATGACCTGACACAGGGACAGCCGTCACCCATGTATTACTCTGCTCGGTTGCTATCCACCAACTAGCTTAAATACTTACAACAAATAAACGGTAGATGTTCAAATAAAGTTGTTTCTTATGCGAGTACAAATTTATTTGTTAAGTTTTATCTGCTAGGGTTATGAAAGTGTTTGGCTGGGTAGATCGAATCTCAATTTGACCTTTCCAGGCTCTGAAGAAGGCGAAACCGCCGAAACGTGAGCTGTTGTATCCTAATAAATTCTATAATAACAACCTCGTGTCTGCTTGTTGAAGAAAAACATCGAATTATCAAATCAATGCAGAGGTTAACAGAAAGTCAGTCTTGGGAATTAGACCATTACCTAAAAATGTTACGTTGCAGAAAGCTACGGTGATGAACGATATTGTATATCTATATTTACAAGTTAAAAAGCTGTCTCGTAATAATGACGGCTGTTTCCTACGCAAAAATTTAAAGCAGCACTCAAGAGCACGGACAGCACACATGCCAAAACGTTTCGGCAATATTATTGAACTTTCTTTACCACGAAAATCTCAGCCGCCCATAGAAGTCCTTGAACATTTACACCAATAGCCTGTCTCCGTGAATTATTCAGGTCTCAGCACAATTACTTATTTAACTGCTATTTTGCTGCTTCGGCCAGAACTTTCCCAGCAGTCCCGAGATAACCGTGCTCGGGAGCTTTCGGCTCTTCCGTGGCCGACTATTGTGAAATGACGTTAGTTGCTTTGTGAGTTGACTTCTTCAAAGATAAAGAGACTCACGGCATCAGAATTGCCCTCTTTCGCACTTCCGAATAAGAACTTCGAATTTCTGAAGGGATTGTAGTGCAGAGTGGCCAACGGTCGTACATAGGATTTCAACAGTCAAGAACACTATTTGCCACCACGAGGTTATAGATTTGACAGACGACGTAGACCAATCCGTCAAATGTATTGAAAGGGACAATCTTTATTTCTAGTTTGGGACAATAACGTTTAGACTTAGTACGAAGTGCAGGTGCGTAAAATTGCGTAATATAACACATTACGAGTGCACCATTACTTTTCGACAATGATAGGTAATTATCTAAGACTTGACCAGTAGGAAACCTATCATTTTCGAAAGCTGTGCAGACGACACCACTGAAAAGTTTGCTTAGCATAAATCACTCTTGGTTGAGCATGCGTCCGAAAGAAGAGGTGAACTTTGGCTTTGGTGGAGGCTTGTACGAAGATACCCACAAACGCCCAAATTCGGTATCTGACTGAAATTTATCTCAGCACAGTATTCTACGTACATCATCAGTACAGGTAACTTCACAGACATACATAGTCGGGAGCCCACCTTGATATCGTTCTCAGCAGACCCAATCGAACTTCCTGGCTGAAGAACTGAGACAACTTTCTTAGTGTTCTCCAAAGTAAGTTTTGCATTTTCGGTAGGCCTCAACGGCACTGGCTGAATGATGCCAGGTTGCATTTTAATTGGCCGATATTTGACTCATATAGAATCATTCACAACTTTCATATTCCTGAGAAGAACGGGAAAATGCCAACCTCGCAAAGCGAGTCCACTCCTGTGTCGTCGAAATTAGGCTGCGGTGGAATTGCAATTAATGGAGAATAAGCACGAATGCCTAAATTAAGATGCCTCGATAAACATTAATCCTCGAATACATACCGGCATAACACTTTTGGCGCCATAATTCATTTTGCTCTTGGCAGGCATGTTGCCATGAACGACATTCTCCAGAGGCACAGATTTACTCCTATCTGAAGATCCAAAAAGAAAAATCGAATTCCCTAGTCCGATTCAGCGTGCCGAAAAACCAGCCTCCTGGCTGTTAGCACACTTCGCTAACATTCTGTTGTTTCACAATCCTCATTACCGAAACTTATGTGGCATATACAATGTTTGGTTGCGGCTTGACTATCAAAAATTTTTTAGTCACTAACATAATGAATGTTAGTCAAATGAGGTTTTCACTGGAATCAAAGGTAACCGTTTTCGCCACAGTTTTTTTGCAGGAACTTGCGGATAGGTGGATTTCTGCCTTGTTCATATGGTACCCAAGACTTTTGTGATCAGTCTAGTGAGTGCGAGCCAAATCCCAACAGTTAATAAAATATGTAGGTTGTATTCAATACATGGAGCATAAGATATCCTCTCCAACTAATGACTGCCTCATTGTGGCAGAAGATTTTGCTAGCTGGCAGCCTGCTATACGTGCCACGGAATTACTAAGCAGGGTATTTTGAACTCTGAAACCTTACATTTCAGCATGAAATGGAGCTAATCGCAAACCTATGCCACAGCAGAGTGCGGTTAGTTAGTAGTGGCTACTTCCTTACTAACAATAGAAAAAATAAAGGCGCTTGTAGTAAAAGCATTATTTTCTTCATGTAGTATACGTGTTTCAGCACCATTTTGCGCGCTTCCTTCTCCGTCGTCCATTATAATCGAACCATCAACATTGGAACCACCAGATCCCGCAACATCTTTGCAAGTAGTCTTTTCTGAAAATCCGTCTTTAGTTGACCGGGAGGCACAATGCTATCTTTCGGAATATATCTTCTGTAATGACTACAAGGCTTAGAAGAAGAACAAACTATTCAAACAAAAGTTTTGCAATAGATTTATTTACACTTTTTAAGAAAAAGTCATGAGGTATTTGTATACAGTGGAACTACTTCGACTTTTGGGATTGACACGAGCTCTCACAAAAAATCTTTTTGGTGATCACTAAATGCATGGTGACTGGAAAGCACCACATCATTTTAAAACTCTTGTAATTTATTTATTTATTAAAAATCTCTCTCAAGTTTTTAAAATATTCCTTGACGCATGGAAATTAAATCCTTGACAATTTTTCTTTGCTTCAGATCAATTAATTTGATTGAAATTTGGAAGCACTTCAAAAATACCTGACGCCTTACCGTACTACAGCGTACCCAGCTAACACCATGTTATGAAATTTGGAGATGCATTCTTTAAGTGCAAGGATAGTGGAAGAAAATAAATTGACGCAAAGACGACCAAGAACTATCACGCAGAACTCATTGCAAGAGGATCTT